CTCAGGGCACTCAAGACCGCATTGCCACCTCCGTCTTGAGCATTTATGACCCCGCCTTGCTTGCACGGTTTACGGCCGACGCATCCAGCCACGGCATGGGGACGGTCCTCGAGCAGCATGATGGTGAGGATTGGCACCCCGTTGAGTACTTCAGTAAGAAAGTGTCTCCCGTTCGCACAATCAACGACTTCGTCCATGTTTTTCAAATGGTGGTGGCACTTTTCTTCTCAGCCACCGGCAGTTCAAATTTGTCACCGACAACAATCCTTTGGTATTCTACAAGCCTCAAGACACAGTCAACAACACCATTGCGCGCTGGATGACCTACATCGGCCAGTTCGACTCTGGCATTGATCATGTCCAAGGCCAGCCCAACTGTTTGACGAACGCTCTATCTCGACATCCGGATCTTTGGGCTGCAGTCTATGACGCTTTCACTATTGACAAAGAGTTGCAGTGACACTTCGTACGCAGTTACAAGGGCTGACCAGCCCTTGTAACTGCCTCCATCTCATTATCGGATCCAAGATGAGCAGCTCTCAACTCTGGACCTGCCTTCATCTCATTATCGGATCCAAGATGAGTTCCCCATTCTTAATTCACAAGGTGAGGACCTCCTTTGTGCACCTAACGACCGACACTTATCTACTTGACTACTCTGCAGATATGTGGAAGGAGGAATCCCCACAAAGCCAACAGGGGAAGGATGGGTCTGATAGCACAAAGATAGGCTTGCAGCAGCAGACTGCTATAGAGGACAAGTTGGGGACCGGGGGCTCATCGAGATTGGGAAAGGGACACAAAGAGACAGGAAGCAGGATATGATGGATGTAGGATCTAGGTATGACTTAGACAGGCAAGGAAATAGTCGAGGACTGGACACCACCGCGCTGTGCCCCCCGGGGGATTCTCCTACTGCGTTGCTGCTAGTAAGCCTTCCGACCGGTAGGACAACCCACCGTAGAGGGGAAAAGGTTTGGGGGTGGGGTGCTCAGAAGCAGCCCCCCTTGCTTAGGGGGCTAGTGCCACAAGTGCTAGGCTGATGTTCTTCTCTTATCTCTCCCCCACACTCTCTTTGTACAAACATGCTTGCCAGTGATAAGCAACCGGACTGATGGCCCCCAGAATAGAAGGGGGGTTTGTGTTTTGTTTCAAAAAAAAAAGAAAAAAGAAGAAGAAAAAAAAGAGAAAGGAAATCCTTAGAAAAACAAAAAGGACTTCTTCCTTACACTTGGGTTTTTGAGTTCTTAAGGGGAATTAGGACTGGATTAGGACTGGATTACCAAAAAGTGGGTGTAGTAGCCATGTTTTGAGATGTCTAGGCTGTGTGTTGAACTGTGTCCCCTTTTGCTGCACATGGATTTTTCTTCAGTGCTGAAAGTTAGCTCCCTGTCTTAGCAAATTTGTTGCTTATTATTTGTAATTAGAAACAACAACAACAACATGCCCCTTCTCTTCTGGGGGGCAACAGTCCGGCTGCTCATCACCGGTAAGCAAAGTTCCGATTCACAGAAGAGTAGAGGAAGGCCCAATTCCCCCGTGGCCTGCGACACTCTAGGGGGGGGAGGAGCTCGGGGGGCGTGTCGTGGAGGCCATCCACTGCCCCAGTCCCGGGACCCATATAATGGCCAGGAAACAGACCTCTGTACCCTGACTCTCATTATATGTGCTGCGGGCCAGGGGGCCCTGGTCCCACGTCCACCCCTCCAGTCACAGGGCCCCACACCAGTTGCCGAAATCCCCAAGTCCCGCGTCCACCCCTCCAGTCACAGGGCCCCACACCAGTTGCCGAAATCCCCAAGTGTGACCCCACTGAAATGTATCCCCTCTAACATCCTAATAGAAGTGTTCTTACGGTCACTCCTTGCCCCATCCCTACCATTGTCAATATGCTCCCTTAACCCTATGTATCACCCTCCCAGTCCCTCAATCCCTATGCTATAAACATTGTACCTGTAACCCCTATTCCTCCCCACTTCTCGAGTCAGACCCCTTGCCACCACTTCTCCCAGCTTCATCTTTTCAAGTTTTGTTATTTGTGCCTATGTCCCTACTCAACCATGTCCCAAAATTGCCCCTGGGGAACCCCTATTTCACCCCTCGGCATATCTGCATAAGGCCCCCACTCCAAGTGCGTGCCCGCCCTAAGTGAAGGCGGGCCCCTGAACCGCAATGAGCCCTGAATTCGTCAATTTTTGCCACCACTTCTCCCAGCTTCATCTTTTCAAGTTTTGTTATTTGTGCCTCTGTCCCTACGCAACCACATCCCAAAATTGCCCCTGGGGAACCCCTATGCGAGGATTTCACCCCTTGGCATATCTGCATAAGGCCCCCACTGCAAGCGCGTGTCCACTCTAAGTGAAGGCGGGGCCCTGAATCCCAACGAGCCCTGAATTCGTCAAGTTTTGCAAAGCTTGGTGGGAGCCAGATAGTTGCCATGCGCCAGTTGGTTACATACGCCTTGCTCGTGAGAATCAGAAACATTCGTGAGACTTCCAGGCTCTTCTAGCAATGTGGTGGAAGCAGGGAACACCGCATGTTTGTGCCTGGATGGTTGGGCATGCCTAACCAATTCGGTCCCAGGCCGCTGTCTGAACGGGCTTGGGCGCAGACACTTTGGCCGAGAGTGAAGCTACTGGAACGAGGCTGGCGGCAGACAGTGAGCCAGCCAATTTTCATTTAGGAAAGTGCCGGGCTACTCACTCGGCATTCGGGCACTTGCTTGTGCAAGCGGCAGCGCTGCTGGAGCGTGCGTTCGCGGGCTACTTGCTGTCTAGCGGAAGTGCTTGTGCACGTGTGTGCGGTAGAGTGGAAGGAGGGCGCTGCATTGTGGCAGCGCCATAGCGCAGCCCTCCATAGCCGGGCTGAGCTTGGACTTAGCTAGAGGAGGTGGTGGTGGTCTTTGTGTATGAGGAAGAAGACGTGGGTGAAGAAGTCAAGGGTGAGCGAGATAGAGAGAGTCGATGACGGTGATGTGAGATCACGTACCTGCTCTTGGCGATGGTCTACATGGTCGACATCTGCATGTACTTCGGTTGATGCTGCTGACGTCAACAAGTTGCTTGTCATTTCATTGCACGTAGTGTAGCTGTAGGATAGTAGACTAGGGAAATGGACTTTTGGCTTGCTGTTTTATATGTTTTTAATTGCTGTTTTTAGGGTTTTTTTAATTGCTGTTTTTAGGGTTTTTTTCTGTGATGACGTAGTAAGAAGTGCACTCTATGGATTGGTGTGAAGTATTATAAAAATGGCCCTCTGGTTTTCTTATAAATGGAGCTGAAAAATGGGTGCTCGGTTAACCTGCTCTCTATTGGTGGTCGCGAGAATATGCTTTCATTGACAATTGAGTTTGATGCTTTGGTTCTCCTTCGGTGTAATATCAGTGCAATTCTGCTTTCTGGACAGCATTCCACTATCTGGCTTTTGAAGTTTTGATGTGATTTGACAATCTGGAAATCTGTCATTTCACTATTGCTCATTTTCCTTGCACCTACACCCCCCTATTATGGTACACTACTCTGAGATCCAAGAGCTACTGTTATCAGGGCCTATCTATAGTACGTTCAGAAGTTTGTTGCGAATAGAACAGTTTCGCTAAGACAAAGAAGTTGAAAGAACATCGTTTGCTTTTTTTTTTTTTTTAAGAACATTGTTTGCTTATTTCGAAGTCTTTCAATTCTTTTCATTTTTTATTTTTTTTTCAATTTGTTTGCCAATATTGCCAAGCAGGAGGATTTGCTGCAAGTTTGCTGAAACCCACTGGTACCATTACTAGCAATGGTACTGATACAGGTACCAAGGGTACCAGCATCAGTAGCAGTACTGATACAGTTACCAACGATACCAGTGCCAGTACTGGTACTGACACACAGGTACCAATGGTACCAGTACCATTACTTGTACTGACACAACTACCAGTATCAGTACCACCACCGGTACTGATACAGGTAGCGATGGTACCATTACCAGCACTGCTACGGAGACGGGTACCAATAGTACCAGTTCCAGTACCAGTACTGAGTATACGGGTACCAATGGTACCAGTACCAGTATGGATACAAGTACCAATGGTACCACTACCAGTATTGGTACTGACACAGGTACCAATGGTACCATTACCAGTACTGCTACTGATACAGGTACCAATGACACCAGTTCCACTACCAGTACTGCGTATACATGTACCAATGGTACCAGTGCTAGTATGGATACAGGTATCAATTGTACCAGCACCAGTACTGAACATACAGGTACCAACGCACTGATATTCTGGCCCACAAGTGGCAGTTTGTCAAATGTGAGAGCCCAAAAGGTGCATTATAATAGGCCCAACGATATGAGAATCAGTACCAATGCTGCCATCGGTACACCAGGTACAGGTCCAAGGAGGTAGTTACAACTTGGGTCGTTTCCAGCTTGTCTGTCATGGTTTATTCAGCTCATTTTCTGTGATGTGATGATGATTGACATCTTATGAGGATTATATTAAGCTACTATTGAGTTTATTGAACTTTACTGATAAAACTTTTTTTTTTTTTTTTCCTTCTTCTTTTTTTTCTTAAACAGGCCCTTACGGTCCTGGCTCCATTTCCATTCCGGGGAGCATCAGTCCGGTTCCTATTCCACCGGCAAGTCAGAATATAAGATTACATCATAATCACCCACGCTTCCTTCTGTTCGGCCGAAGGACCCCTGACCAGCATTGGTTGCTCCAAAAAATTGCAGGATTAACTGTCAGCTTGCCATTCCTCATCCTTTCCTCTCAGGTGTCCTGCAAAACCTGCCATATATGGCATGACTAAACAAGAAAAATGTAAAAACTGCCATTACTACCAATTTCCTTAAACCCTAAACCCTAGACCCCCGAGAAACCATAAAACTTTCTAGTTTTTCAGAAAACAAAAAAAAAGAGTTGCTATCCAGTAGTGTTAACATGCTTTGTTTGAATTTGCTGTAATTAACTTATTTAAAGTTTATGTTTGTGTTTGCCGGGGCCGAAGGGAAGGAATGGCATGAGCTTCGAGCACCGTCAATCAGCACGAAGAACACACATGGCACTGGCTGTACGCTGGCATCAGCAATTGCAGCTGGGTTGGCAAAGGGGCTTCCAATTCTGGCAGCTGTGCAGGTGAGCACATTCATCTCGTGAACTTCAGTTAGGAGGACTTTCTTTCGGGGGAAGGAGGTGGGTGGTAGGGGGAAGGGGAAAGGAGGGGTGGGGCGGGAGGGGGAAGGGCGGAACAAGGAGGGATTAGGAGGTCTGTCTTTTTTTTGTTATTGAGGAGATACAGATCAAGAAAGAGGAGGAGAAAGAGGACGATGCTTTTATGTTTCAGAATGCCGGGGACCAGTCATCTGGGACCTTTCTGATCCGATTCTGATCCGAGCCCAGAATCTAATTCTTCAGTCTTTTTTTTTTTTTTTCAAGGGGGGGGGGGGGGGGGGGGGGGCGGATTTACCGCCCGTGATTGACCTAACATCTGGTAAATTCTGAACAACAGAGAGAAAGACAAAGATGATGCAAATGTGGCAGAGTATGGTACACACGTGTGATATTTGTTAACAAACAAAAAAAATCACGAGTTCAAACTTCAAATCCTAATGGCATCAGAGGTATAGGGGCTGCCGTAAAAAAAAAAAAAAAAAACAAAAAAAAAAAAAAAAACAAGGATGACTCCAGCGAAAGAATCATGGGCAGAAACAGAGAAATCTGACCCATGATTCTCCAAATTACGGAGTAAAAGAAGACGGGGGTGGAGGATGGGGGGCGGGGGCGGGGGCGGGGGTGGTGCGGGCGGGGGAAGGGAGTGGTTTGTTTAAAGGGGGGGGCTAAGGAAGGGGCGAAGAAAGGAATGGATGTCTTCACTTAGTCTTTTTTTTTGTGTTTGTTATTGTGATTTGTGTGGGGCAGGAAGCAAAGTCGTACATAACGGAAGGTCTGAGCAGAAGTGTCTCGTTCCGTGTAGGGACTGGCCGTCAGGGACCAATCAATCACCTCTTTGCTCTGCCCGAGTGGTCGAGATACGAGCAATATTCTGCAGTGATGGAACCGAGTCCAGGGTCGCCTAGAGCACGGTTCAAGGCGGATGATTTATTCCTCTATGCTGTCACAAGCTTAGACATGAACCAGAAATGGGGAAGATCCATGGTCGATGCCATCTCAGGGGCAATTGAAGGAGGTGCAACGTTCTTGCAGCTCAGGTAAGAAGGGTGGGTGATTGTAGTAACTATAACACCTTGTGCACTCACCTCCATTTCTTTGCATTGGAAAACTGAAAAATAAAAAAATAGTAGTTTTGTAACTCATCAACAATGAATTTGCGATTAAGGAATAATCAAGGGCCCCCCCCGATACTTCCCACCGCCCTCGGGAGATTTCCTGTCGTTGGCATGGCAAGTGCTATACCAAGATTTCCTCTTGGACACTATGTTCCGTTTGGCTGTGCTCATATGTCAAACCACCAGGCATCTGTTCCTCATCGCGTAAATTGGCATGCACACCTGGAGTGGAATACTAACTTGTATTCTGCAGGAGGTTGGCGCAAGAAACAACTCTGTCATCTTAACAGTGTTGTGCAAGCAGAGCGATTTGAGTTGCAACTGCAAGGTGTTGATTAACAACCCCTTGAGCCAGGTCCTTTCACTGTTGGAGGAGTGATTTATGCAATTGTTCATTTGCCTTCTGGATGTTTTTATGTTGGGCAGACGATGCATTCTGCACACCAAAGGCTGCAAGAGCATTGGCATACACGACACTCTTCTGCTGCTTTTCGCCATCGCCATCTCTACCTCGCAATGCGTGGGCAACCAACATTCAATTTTGCGGCTTGGGCCTTGGAATGCATTGATCCTACCCTTTATCATACGCCTGAAGGCCTTGTTGATCATGTCTTCATTCGGCGGGCTGCTGCACCCCATGAGGGTGTCTGGGTTCTGAAACTTCGAACTCTTCACCCCGTCGGTTTCAATGCACTCCTTCCAATGGCTAGACTGCCGTCTCCACGACGACACTTCCGCCCTCACCGTTGGACACAAATGGGCCCTCGTCCCGTTGCTCCTCAGCCTCGACCTCCTTATGCCTCAGCTACTCATCTTTCCCTCCCTATCACGTCTACTGCTGCGTCGTCCATTCATGCATCAACTGATCCTTCTCACACATCACCCCTCTTACCAACACCCGTTGGCTCTCATGTTGCACCCCTTTTACTGACACCCCCTCACTATTTACCTCTTTTGCCAACACCTTCGATTAGGTCATTTGCTGTTGACCTTCGTCCGGGTCCCAAACTTCTAATTCGTACCTCACTGTATTGCCTTCTCACTGAAGCTTCTTTGGGAAACTGGTGTCGTGTCAAGGGTGATATTGAGCAAGCGACACCAGCATGGCAGGTACAACTTTTGCAATGGCTTTACAACATGACAACAAATGTTCGAGAACTCGAATGCCTCATCTGAAAATCCCAGCATGATCACCAACGTCACACGGCGCAACCTCATTACCCATTTACTGACCACATCAAGGCCATACATGTGCATGAGGTAGTTCGTGCTACGAACTTGCGCCATGCGTTACAATTGCTGGAAATAGTTGCATTCCCGACCCTCAAGTAGCCCACACATGTTCGTGTATGTGACAAACTGATGCCACCCACACATGTCTAGTTTTGTAATTCCATTGATATGGTCTCGAGTGTTACTCCTAGCATGACCTTACCCGGCAAGTTGCGAATGCCGCAGAGTCTTTCCACGTTGTTCTGATCTTCTGGATGGCCATATTGTGTCTGTTGACTACAATATCACCTCTGATGATAGCCTTTGCAAGAAGGTTAGAAGTATCGCCTGAATGGGGAAACTGCCGATGTGCTTCAGGCACTCGCAATTGGACTTGATGAGTACATTGCCAATTATAAAAGGTCGTTGGCCGCACATTCTTGATCTGCTTCTTTCTCGTCTCTTTCTCAGAAGTTGAACAACCGGCGATTTGCAATCCTTGCACATTATCAATCTAATGCAGCCTCGTTTTCCAATCATGTGAGCCAGCCACATTCACTTCGTTCTACATATGCCTCCTTGCGCCATCTTCAACAACACTTTTCCATTATCCCTGCGGACAAAACATCACACAATTTGGAAAATTCTCGATCTACTTTTTTCTCGTCCCTTTCTCAGAAGTTGAACAACTGGCGTTCTGTAATCCTTGCACATTGTCAATCCAATGCAGTCTCGTTCTCCAATCATGTGAGCCAGCCACGTTGACTTCGTTCTACACATGCCTCCTTGCGCCATCTTCAACAACATTTTGCCATTGTCCCTCTGGACAAAACATCACACAATTTGGCAATTTGCTGCAAGAATTGGTATCTGGTTCATCTCTCCACCCATTTGGACAGTCCCACTAACACTCGTCCTCATGAATCCGTTGTTGAAGTCCTTGACCGCCATGCACTATGGAATTACCATTGGGGCTACACTCACACTGATACCCTACCTTACCTTTACTACGTGCTAAAAGCTCACAAATCTCCTGCAGCTCTTTGCAACATTCTTCGAGTAATAACACAAAATAGCAGTGTTGTTACCTGACGCGCTCGCCCTCGTCCAAGAATTTGCACTATTCATGAACGGCCTGCTCACAAACTATTGGCTAGCACAACGACTACTTCGTCGTATCTTAGCGCTGCTTTGCAAGGAGTGGTCACTACTCTTCGTGAGAAAGATACTGACCTCTATCAGCAGGTTGGTGTTCGATAGTGTTGGATCGTCCAGAGTGCCGATGAAGTGGCGATTGACCTGAAAAACAATGCATCGTCTCTTCGTGGCCTCTCTCCTTGCACTGTTGATTTTACCACAATGTACACCAACCTCCCTCATGACCGCATTCTGAATAACGTGGCAGAAGTCGTCGATGAAGCCCATGCTTATGCCCTTCGGCATACTCGCACGCATTCGCGGTGTTGTGCCCTGAATATGGTTGCTCGAGGACCTCGTTGTGACCAATGGACAACCGATTCAAGCTCGGGCACCCTTTCCGTTTTTCAGATTCTCCAACATCTTCGCTTTGTTGTACAAAATATTTTTCTATACACTAGAGATGGCATACTTTGGAAGCAAATTATCAGTATTCTAATGGGAACAAATGCTGGCCCAGAAATTAATAATCTAACGTTGTATTGGGATGAAGCACGCTTTGTTGATGACATTCGTCAACATGATCTTCAAGCTGCTCAGCAATACGCCTTCCTTTATAGACTCATTAATGATGTGCTTTCATGGGGACAATTGCCTCCTCCTCTAGAGCACTATGGGCTTGAGTGGAAGGAGACTACAGCGACATGGCTCGTGCACCTTTTTAGGTATGCATCTACGGGTCCGTTTTGATGGCTCGCTTCGCATGAGAGTGTTTGATGAAGCAGCTGCTTGGGATTTCCCTGTCATTTGTTATCCAAGTGCGACCTCCCACATCCCTTCCCATCAACCGGCGGGTGTGTTCACTGGAGAATTGACCAGATTTGATTAAATTTGTAACAATTGGCAGGACTTTCGAACTGCAGCAACAACACTTACTCGTCGCATGCTTTCTCGTGGGCATTCCCCACCAACCCTTGCTAAGGGGTGGACCTGCTACATGCGCTATCCTACGCATGTGACTTGTCTCTCTCAGTGGTTCAGATGCATGCTGCGATGGTCCCTGCATCATCCACTTTCTTCTTGTGTCCACGTCGCTCTTGTCCTCCTCCTGCTGGCTCATCTGCTGCTACTGCAGTTTCCACCGCTGCAGTTTCTACAGCTCCGGTTTTCAATCGGCAGTCTCTGCTATTGCAGTTTCCACTGCTTTACTAGTTTTGTTGCTGCATATTCCACCGCTGCAGTTTCCATTGCTACTGTTTGTACAGATCCGACTTTTACCCCAACAGTTTCTACTACTGCGGTCTCCACTGTTGCAGTTCCTATTACAAGTTCCTCTGCTCCAGTCTTCAATACAACAGTTTCTATAGCCGGAATTCCCGGCACTATACTTTTTGCTGCTACAGCTTCCTCTGCCGCAGCTGCACGTTCTCGCTTGCGAACAGACTCTCCGGTTTCCATTGTTCCCATTGTTCAACTTTCGTTGCCAGGGACATGTTCATCCTCTTCTGTTTGCAATATCACTACTCGTCTTATTGTGTATCGTCGGCGACACCGTCACGTGTCGGGGATCAGCAGCCTGTTTCTTTGTCTGCCCCAATTCCCTCTGTGCCTGCTCCACAGGTTGTTGCAGTTCCTTTGTTCCAAACGGCAATATCCGCTCCTATGCCTCCTGCAGACAGTCCAGTTGCCTGCACGCAGCCACAACACCATGTTTTATGCCTTTCAGCTTTAGACATTCACGACTCACCTGTACAACAGGATGTGGTCCGCTAGGTCTTCCACGTGCTTTACTTTGTTCTCCGCCTGCTAGGTCTTCCACGTGCTGAGCATTCTTGAGGCTTGAATATCTAACGCCTGTTGAGGCTTGAATATCTTGAGGCTTTAATATATGTAACGTATGTTCTCCGTAACGACTGATTCACAATTTCTTTTCAACTTTCAAAAGTTGTTAATTGAACCTCCTGGTTTGATCTGTTGTGATCAGAATGATGTGTCTGACTCATCGATGTTGTTGCTATGGTGTTGGATTTTTTACCCTTGGGTCAACGTGTTGACTTTTGGGTTAACTTTTACGTTGACCGAAGCTTTCCTGTTTTCATTCCTCTGGCAATTGATGTAGTGCTTCCTCCCTCTGTTTATGCTTCCAACTTTTGGTCCACTAGTTCTTTCCTCCCCACCCTCCCCCCCCACCTTTTTTTTTCTCATTGATTCACTTGTTCTCCGCTTCAATTTTTTTCAATGCAATTTTGTTCCAAGGTTTGGAGTCCTACTTTGAGCACTTAACTGTTGACTTTTCTTTTTTTGGGGGGACAATTTGGACCAGTCCTCAATTTATGCGTCATACTTGCGCAGAGGCCCCATACTAATCTTCTCTGCATCGTTCCATTTTTTCTTTAACGTTGTATTTAAGGTAAACAACAAGTTCCAAATAATGGGAACTACCCAATAATAAATAAGAAAAAAAAACAACAAGAAAGAAATTACACTCAAATAGAACAATTTTGTCCATTGGACCCTTTGTGTTTTGTAACAACTAGGAATAACAAAACACCAAATTTGATAACTGAAAAAGG